CATTTTGTTGTTGTAGAGGTTTTTCCTTTTTCTTTTCATTTGGATTATTATTTGCTGTATTTTTTACTAAATCATTTTTTTTCACATAACCCCTTAAATGGCTACTTTTGTTCTAGCTCTAAATTGTGCATTGGATTTTACTCCAAGAAATGGACAAGGGCACTGAATAGGGACAGCATTTCTCAGCTAACTTTTTAAGGCACTCCCTATTTCTCTCCCTTTTTAATCTCTGCTCACACCCCAATCCCACAATGCAGAATCCATCATTCTTCTGAAATTCTTTTCTTACCCTCCTTTAAAACAACTATTTATGCACTAATACAGTATTTGAATAATACAAGCTCAGTCTTGACTACTTCCTCCAGGCAATTTTTCAAATGAGGAAATTACCAGCATTCCTTTTAACTGGTGACATTCTTGAGTAAGATGCAAGACGTTTAAAAGTCTGTATCTTTTAAAGAACCTGCACAGTGTAAAGATGGCAAGACATCTTGAGGGCTAAAAAGGATAATGACTTGGTCCCCTCTCACTGTGCCCATGTAGTTATTGTAGATTTTTATAAACTTGTTTTATTTACTCCATTAATTCTTTTTAGTCTTATATGGTCTTATCAGCAGATATTTAAAGTTCAGGGGAAAGGAAGGATGAATAACCCATATTTGACTATCTTTGGCCTACCTGCTAGGGTATGACTCCTGCAAAGCCTCCTTAATTGTATATATTTTGGGGAGTCTGCAGGGGTTGTCACATGTGCTCATAAACAAGTACAATCATTTACTAATGGGCATTGGTTATTTTCTTCTCACTTGCCTCACCCAACTATTTGTTAGGCTTACTCCATCACCTGATTATTGCTGTTTCTCCAGGTGGTATGGATTACTCCTTGGCCACCATGTCTGCTTTTGCTGGGGTGGATCCCATTTTGTCTGGATCCCACACTTTTGTTGACTATGTTTACCCAAATGGCTGCCAGGCCTGCTTACTTTCTGCTGGGTGTCATCCCCTACAGCTAGCTGGGTATCATCCTCTACAGCTATTACCCTAAACCAAATGTTCCACAAAGGGGTTCTTTGTTTTTATTTATTTATTTATTTATTTATTTATTTATTACAATTTTTTTTTTTTTTTTTTTGAGAGAGAGAGCTTGTGTGTGTATACACATGTGCATGCTTATGAGCAGGGAAGGGACTGAGGGAGAGGAAGGTGGGGGAGAGAGAGAGAGAGAATGAATGAATGAATGAATGAATGAATCTTAAGCAGGTTCCACACCCAGTGTGGAGCCCAATGCAGGGCTAGATCTCACGAGTGTGAGATCACGACCTGAGCTAAAATCAAGAGTCAGTTGCTTAACCTACTGAGTCATCCAGGTGCCCCCAAAGGGGTCCTTTATAAAGCAGAATGCCCCTCTCTTCCTTTGTCCTGTATTTTTTAGTGGGAAATAATATCAATAGAAATTGATAATATTTATGTATCAGAGCATTTTGAGAACTAGGGCATCTTTCTCAGTGTTCCCACTCCATTGGGACTAGACATGAATCTTTGGTACTGACCTACCTGGAAGACCTGGAAGTCCAGATCATAGGCTCAAACCCATACGATTCTCAGATCTTCTCCTTATGTCCAAATACAAAGGGTCACAGGCTTTGTTTGCACTTGACATTTGAAGCTCTCCGTGGACCTCATTTTGCTTGTTCTCCCCCAAACTCTGTAATTTCTGAGTACTACAGGAGTTTCAAACTTAGTAAAAATATGGACAGTGGATCTATTGGTTTTCAAGTTAAAAGCATTCCTGCTTCTTAGAAATGGCCAATGTGAATTACAAGGAAAAGTATTCTTTTCTCTCCATTTCTGCTATTAGGGAAAAGTTTTGACAAATTCTTTATTACTGAATTGACTTAAATTGGAAAAAAAAGCAGAGTTTCAAGTGCAGTCTTCTTTTGATATGTAAGTAAAGGTGTGGCCTTTTTGGCTTTAGCTGTAAAACTTTATATTTAATTTGCATAATAAAACTTTTTTATGTATCTAATAACAGCTAAATTTCAGCCTTGTCTTTGTCTACATTGTCATACATCCTAATTATTGGTGTCTGAATAGACACTAAATTGAAGAATGTGAATTTTTATTTTCTAGTGTAGTCTAAAAGTTGTGACCTTTGATACTTAATATCAGAAGAAATATGCTCCTGTTTCATCACATCCATTCTTCTCTGTTCCCAGTGAATTATTAACCCATTTGCATGTCCTAATCCAAATACTTTTTCTTGTGTAGAAACTTCTCTACAGATACATGTTTTTCTTTCATAAAACCCCTATTGTACTCTGTACTTAGGAGTACAGAGTTTTATTCATTTCTTCATTTCATTCATTTCACCTTGTGAAATTACTGTCTAAGGTCAGAGATTGTATGTAACATACTCCTTGTGTTTTTTCATATAAATTTGCATAGTGCTAGACATACAGAGTAATAGCAGTAGCAGCAGCAACAATGGCAACAATAAATTAATTAATTGAATAAAAGTGCCCTTGAGATAGTCCCTGAGGTAGGTACTTTATTATGGCCATTATATATCTTGGGGAACTTACAGAAGCTATGTCAGTTTTCCAAGTTAGCTAGTAAACTGAGAAGTTAGAATAAGAAACCAGGCAGTTAGGGTCTAGAATATACTCATTAAGCTTTCTAAATGCAAGTAAATATTTATTTAATTTATTAGCTGTTTCTTTAAACCAATATTCTAGACCTCACCCATCCAAATGAGAAGGGTGCAGTTTACATATTCTAAAACAGTAAGTATTTTGGTTTTTAAAAAAGTATATCATAAAGTAATCCTGAAATGAGCCTCATAAAACTAACTGAAAACAATCCAAAGAATATGGCTTTGGAAATATTTTAAGTAATAGTAGCCTCACTAGAGTCACTCCCAAGGAGACAACTCTGCAAGATAAAGTTCAGTTGAATTGAAAAAGTTGTAATTAGCTTAATACCACTTTTTCTGTACTGCCTGCTGATAAGGAACTTCATCCTCTTTCATAGCTCTTCTACCCCATACCTACATACAGTGGCAGCCAGCTTCTGGTGACAGCTGGGCAGCTCTGGGGATTGAAGGGTCCTTTGTTCTATCTCTAACCTTTTTAAGGCACTTCAGTACACAGAAGAGAGTGAACTCAGATCAGTCCAAACATTTCTATTATTTTTATAGTCTGTTTCCTTGTTACCCTTTGCAATTGCATTTTTCTATCACTTTCTTTTTCTTTTTTTTTTAAAGTTTACTTTTTGAGATAGAGAGTGCGAGCAGGGGAGGGGCAGAGAGAGAGAGAGAGAAGAGAAGAGAATCCCAAGCAGGCTTCGCGCTCTCAGCTTGCGGCTCCATCTCACGAACCTCGAGATCATGACCTGAGCCGAAACCAAGAGTTGGATGCTTAACCGACTGAGCCACCCAGGAGCGCCTGCTGTCACTTTCTACCATGCATTTTAATCTACTGCCGTGCCTGGGATATGCCATCCTCGTACTCAACACTACTACCTATTCTCCCTCCCACCCTTCTAGATAGCCCAGTACTACAGAGTGCTCTGGTTTCAAGCACAGATTCTGGAGCCAGTCTGCGTCTATTCAAAGTCTGCCTCAGCTAACTGCTGGCTATGTGACTTCTCAGTCCCTCAGTTTCTTCATTATAGGAGTAATAATTGTACTACTTCAAAGGGTGGCTGTGAGGCTTAAATGAGTTAATATATATATATATATATATATATATATATATATATATATAGATGATGTTTAGAACAATGCTTTTCATGAGGTGTTTAGCGAGTATTGCCTGTTGCTATCATCATCATTTTCTTTATTATCATTTAACTGGTGAAATCCTATGCATCTTTGATGCTCTGCTGACATTTCACAACTTCTCTGTAGCTTTTTCAGAGCCCCGCTGTTCCAGGCAGGCTTGGCCCTTATTTTATGCTGCCATTGTTCACTCTGCTGTTTCAATATTGGCACACTGCATCTGGTTATCTGAACATGCATCTATTCCTTGATTATTAATACATTGAGGTCAAATGTAAAGGTAAAGGAAGGATGAAAGAAGTTTCTACTATGTCTAAAATTATTTGGGGTTATCACCCTTATGAATAATATGGGAAATGTTTTTAGTCACTCCTAATGTTAAAGAAGCTGGGAGCTTTTTCCTGTGTCTACAAAAGCCATAAATATTTTTCAAGCTTTCTTTGTTATTCAGAATTTTATTGGAAAGAGCAATTCTTTTGTGATCTCTGTAAAGAAGATACCAATAGTTTATGTATTTCTAATACATAGTGAACTATCCACATAGTATAGTACTGTATGTATTTCTAAGCAAACATTTGGAAGTTAAATAAATGTCTTTCAAATACTTGTAAAATGTTGACTTTTTTACTCATTCATATTGGTCTTCCTCCAATGAGTCCAAATTAATGGGGTTCTCCTTCATGAAAAAGTATCAGTAATAACCATCACTAGCTCTTGATATTAAAAATGGGAGAAATACTTCATGTACTCTTTTGTTATCTTGTTTTGTTTTGTTTTTTTTTTCTAATAGAGTAGAATACTGTATCTGGGTCTACAATGAGATGCAGATTAACAAACTAATCTGAACATTCACTACTGTGGTTTCACACATTTACCTTTAAGTAAATATTTTTTGTAATAGTAACTATATACCATTTACTTTGCAAATTCCACTTTATTATTATTATTTTAACATTTATTCAGTTTTGAGAGACAGAGCGTGAGTGGGGGAGGGGCAGAGAATGAGACACAGAATCTGAAGCAGGCTACAGGCTCTGAGCTGTCAGCACAGAGCCTGATGAGGGGCTCAAACTCACAGACGGCGAGATCATGACCTGAGCCTGAAGTCCGACGCTTAACTGATTGAGCCAACCAGGTGCCCTACAAATTCCACTCTTAATTAGCTTGTTTGTATGTGGGAGATGATAAATATTTGCTTTGTATATTAACAATATAATACAAAATGTGTTTATATGTAATAATTACCTAACAGATGTTTCCTTTTCTTTTTTTTAAATAAATATTTTATTTATTTTTAAATTCTTAAAATTTTAAAATTTTATTTAAATCCAATTTAGTTAACATATAATAATGCAATAATGATTTCAGGAGTAGAAGTTAGTGATTCATCACTTAACATACAACACCCAGTGCTCATCACAGCAAGTGCCCTCATTAATGCCCATCACCCATTTAGCCCATCCCCCCCCCCCATGCAAAGCCCTCTAGTAACCCTGTTTATTTTCTGTATTTAAGAGTCTCTTATGGTTTGCCTTCCTCTGTTTTTATATTATTTTTGCTTCCCTTCCCCTATGTTCATCTGTTTTGTTTCTTAAATCCCACATATGAATGAAATCATATGATATTTATCTTTCTCTGACTTATTTCACTTAGCATAATACACTAGTTCCCAGATGTTTCCTTTTCTTAAAAATGTTCTTAAAATGCTTAAATATGAAATAATTCTAAATATACTCAGAGCCTTAAAAATCAAACAAGTTACTGAAGATTCAAACATATATTTTCATGTTATCACATTTCTCAATGAGATGACATACTACATTTAGGAAGAGTGTATTTTTTTTTTCCTAGAGTTTATTTCTTGATGGTTAACCAAGGGTACATTAAAATATGTTTATTCTAATGGGCCATATCTCAAATATCAGTAGTGTCAGATGATTCTATTATTTTTCTAAGAGATCTTGGTTTTATTGACAATGAAAGATAATTGGCATTTCTTTTTAATTATTTTTTAAACAGGACGGAGATTTCTTCTGCCTTCAGATGTCTTTCTGCTTGACTGAACTGCACCTGTGGTCTTTGAAGAATACCTTACACATTGGGGGTAAATGATCTCTGGATTAATTTCAGTCATTTTCAAATATAAGTTACAATGTTATAAGTAAGTACTAGCAAAGATTAGAGTTTAGATTCTTCTGCTGGAGTTGCATTATTTTTTTTATACTTAATGAAAAATTGGCTAATGAAAAAAATAATTATTTTTAGTTACTCTGAATAAGTTATTTTTTCAATTTGAGTTAGATTTTCTGTTGTGAAAATTATATTGGTCTAATATTTGTTTCTGTTTAGGAGATATACATGTTCAATTTTTTCCTGGGATTGTTCCTAATGACTGACTTATATTCATAAATATTTGTAGGCTAACTAATGGTAAAGGTATTTCTATTTGATATTAAGATAACATTTCAGGAGTGCCTAGGTGGCTCAGTTGGTTAAGCATCCAACTCTGATCTCAGCTCAGGTGTTGATCTCAAGGTCATGAGTTCAAGCCCCATGTTGGGCTTTGCACTGGGCGTGAATCCTACTTAAAAAAAAAAAAAAGGTAATATTTCAAACATGCAGCTAAGGTGTACGATTAATTATATTCATGTTCTTTGGATTTCTTTGCTCCATACTCCCAGCACCGAGCCCAACATGGGGCCTGATGTGGGCTCGATCCCACAAACCCGTGAGACCATGACCTGATCCAAAATCAAGAGTCTGACACTTGGGGCGCCTGGGTGGCGCAGTCGGTTAAGCGTCCGACTTCAGCCAGGTCACGATCTCGCGGTCCGTGAGTTCGAGCCCCGCGTCGGGCTCTGGGCTGATGGCTCAGAGCCTGGAGCCTGTTTCTGATTCTGTGTCTCCCTCTCTCTCTGCCCCTCGCCTGTTCATGCTGTGTCTCTCTCTGTCCCAAAAATAAAAAAATAAAAAATAAAAAAAAAAAGAGTCTGACACTTAACTGACTGAGCCACCCAGGTGCCCCAAAAGAGAAGATTTTTTAAAAGATATTTCCTAACAATACATACTTTATCCCATAATACTAATAAGCATTGTTAAAACACACATTACTCCTGTCTTTCATCCTTAAAATTTTTATTTATTTTTTAACTTTTGTGACCTTAACAGTTTTGAAGATTTTATGTCAATTATTTTATAAGAGGCCCCTGTATTTGGATATGTTTGAAGTTTTTTTTTTTTTTTACAAATCTGAAGTTTCAGATTATATATGTTTGATGTGAATATCCCAGAAGAGGTGTTGTATTTTCAGCACATCCTAATTGGGTGGTGTACAATTTCAATTTGTGTCTTTATTGATAATGTTTATGATCATTAAGATTGTGTCTGGTAGTATTCTCCACTGCAAAGTTACTTTTCCTTTGGAGTTAATTAGTATTTCATAGGGAGATATTTTGAGATTATGTAAATGTATTGTTTCTTATTAAACTTTAAGTATATTTATTATTTATCTTATCCCTGTGGACTCAGGTTTCCTATTCAATGGTTTTAATCCATTACTATCATTAGTTATTTTGATATTTAAATTGTTTCTGATGTGGCCAGTGGGACCCCACTCAAGCTGAGTCTATGTCTTTGTGACAGGTCCCTATCAGTATTTAAGCATTTCCATTCTTTCTGGCACAACAGAAAGATTCCCTAGCATGCTGGAATCAGTTACTTCTCTAAGTAGCTTGGTTCCTTTTAGAGGGAAGTGGTATCTAGAAGTCAACGGTACTTTAAGTATGCTTATTGCCATTGGAGTATCATTTTTACTAGGCTCTCAGTGGACAGAGCCTAGGGTATGTATGTATGTACATATATTTACATCTATATTCATTTTTGTATCTGTCTCTATTGAAAATCAATTCTAATCTACCAGCAGAGGGTTCATTCTAATTTTCTCCCTTTCTATATTTGTATTTCTCTTCTCTGACAGTGAGAAACCTGGGACTCCCATATCTTTTCTTACTTAATCACCCTGTATGCACTCAGTCTTCTATCTCAGTGGGCATTCCCTCCCCTATGTGGATGCCCTTCTCATTTCACATTGGTTCTGACATACCATGTTGGGCTCTTCCCATATGTGGATGTCTTCCTCACCTAGACACCCACATTTGGCCATTGCCCCATGTGAATGTCCTTCGGTGAAAAGGACACCTGTGGTTCTGATACACTGTCAGCCTGACATTCTGCATGGACACCTTCCTCATCCAGCTTAGGCTCTGATTGGGTTTTGACAGCCTACTCTGGGTCAGATACAGAATTCGGGGTTCTTGGGTGCCTGGCTATCTCAGAAGAGCATGTGGCCTTGATCTCCAGGTCATGAGCTGGAGCCACATATTGGCTATAGGGATTACTTAAATAAATTTTTTTTAAAAAGCTTAAAAAAATAAAAAGAATTCAAGGGCCTTTATGGTCTTCATAGTTCTGTTCTAGAGTTACAAATATTTGGCTGCATCTAATGATGGAATATTATATGAGGACACATTGCCCATGTAAATAATGCTTATGGTTCTTAGATTTTAAAAAAGCCTACCTTTTTATTGAAAGTCTACCTTTTTATATATATTGAAAAGTATAAAGATCATAAGGGTATATTTTGAACTATCAAAAAATGAACATGCCCATAAAATCACTCAAGAAATAAAATATTATCAGTATCTTAGGAGCCCTACTTATAACCTTTCCCAGTCACCCCTTATTAAATATTTTTAATCTAAATAATAGAAGTAAACTTCATTCTTTAAAATTATATGTCTCTGTGCGTATGGCTGGCTCAGTCAAAAGAGCAGTCTCTTGACCTCCGGGTTGTAAGTTCGAGCCCCATGTTGGGTGTAGAGATTATTTAAAAATAAAATCTTAAAAAAAAATTATGTGTTCCAATTAGTGGCATGGTAAATAGAATACAGCTTTAATAAGTACACAGGATTGAATATTTGTAACAACTCTATTTAAAAAATTGGCTATAGCTGTAATATCTCTTTTGAAAGTTTCATTTAGTTTGAGAAAGTTTGGAGCAGTCAGTCACTAGGGGGCAGCCTCTACTGCTTCCACTTCTTCAGAAACAGTTGCATTCTTTTGTTAGTAACTAGAATTATTTTGCATGGAGGGAAACAAATGTTAATTCAAAGGAAAAATATTTCACTATTCACATATAGGAACAAAATGGACACAGTTATTTTGTTTTCCTGTAATTCAGTTGCAAAGACAAGAGTCCTTGGTTAAATCACTCTAGGAAGCCTTGCTTTGCTTTTTAGTCCCAGGAGAACATCTGAATTTGAATGCATTTGGAAGGTTTTTTGAATCTAAACAAGCTTCAGGTAACTTACCCATGCTTTCCTCTAATTTTCTTTTTCTCCTGCAAATTTCCCCCAAGCACTGTACTAGATTCAAGCTAAACTGGAGAAAAGCAAGCAACAACTCAGAATCCAACAGGGCATTTCCATCCACTAATTACATATGGCGTTGCTTAGTGGCAGTTCCTTTTGGTAGCACCCTGTGAAAAATATCAGAGGAAGTGTGAAAGAGAAAAGTTGGTCTTATTTGATTTCAGTTTTTTACTGCTCCTTTCCTCATGCCCTTCCAGTTTTGTGTAAATCTTTTCTAATTAGATTGATAAACCTTCCAGTTCCCACATATCCCTGGAATAGATGAACGCATATACTTTTGATCTTATTTATTTCTAGTAACATAAAAAGATGGTTTATGCCCTCCTTCCTGCCTACCCACTCCCAACCCCAATCCTGACATATATATAGCATGGTTTGGCTTCTTATTTCCCAGAACTTTTTATCACAAACTAATGTTATTTCTTCTTTTCTATAGATAGAGACATAGGGATCTACCAGTATTATGACAAGAAAGACCCAGCAGGTAAAGTATGTATTCTATACAACTAATTTTTATAAATGAAATATTTTAAACTGTAAAATACTGGCCATTAAAAAAACTCTTTTTTGAGCATTAGGTAAATTCTAAAATTAAAAAAAAGTCATTTTAGTCCTTTAGAAAAATGTTGAGGTTGATATCTGTTCTGTATAAAATAAAGCAATATTGAGAAAATGCTGTAGAAGAACATGAAAATGTTCATTTTACTGCCGATCCGACTGATAACTGGACAGTCTATTCACGTTTATTTATCAGTGTCCCAGTAGAGGGCATTGTTAATGCGTGGGTCCCACTGGTGCTGGCCTCCCGGATCCTCACCTGATATCTGAAATAGGCATTTCTGAGTGAATGATCAATTTTCTTTATCTGATTAATCCTGTTAATCCCAGAAGTTTCATGATGGGCCAAAAGGTCTTTCTAGCTAGTTACTTCCTGTTTTGGTCTCTGTTGAAGTGGTGCTGGGGTGGGCATCCTGTATGCTTAGCTTGGTGGTTAATAGGCTAGCTTCATGGTTCTGATGACAGACTGAAGCAGCTTCTATTCTGGACTCCGTTGCAGTTCTCTTCCCTATCTGATGAGATTGTGAGCTCAGGATATTGGCCCACCTGTTGTGTGATGTAAGCCTTTGCACTACAAATTTAAGAAATACCTCTATGAAATGAAAACATCCACATTATGGCATTTTTTCACCTGCCTCTTAAAAATTTAACATAACTCATTAATCTCAACAACGTGCATAATATACATTATATATGTGCATTTCAAAACACAAAGTATTAAAATTAAAATAACTTCCATTTTTATTTTCTTCCTTCTCTCTTCTGCCACAGTATCAGTGACAGAACATGGTGACTTAGAAGAAAAGCACAAGCTGGCAGAATGTAAGCTTACTTTATATTTTTTTGTAATTATTATAAAACTGGAGTTTTAATATCCCTGAAGATTCAGTCTTAAAAATTTTTTTAAGCTTTCTGTACAAGTAGGAAATGTTACTCCCTCCAAATTTCTTTAATTGTAAATTCCCATTGTTGAGGTATATAAACATGAGAGTTATATTTCTTAGGCACTTCTAATTCAGACCTTTGAAATCTCTGTCTAGTTTTGAACAAGATCTATGCTTGTGTGAACATAAACTTTCTTAATGAACCATATTTATATCATTTATTATATTTAAAGTAAGTATATCATATTTAAATTCTGATAATGTTTTATTATACATACCATGCCTAAATGATTAATACATATTACCCATTTTAAGAAAATAAAATTTGTAAAAAAGAACAAAAATTTGTAATGATTAATATTAGCATTTTATTCTTTCTAGCCTTATCTGTTCTCAGGTATATAAATACATTATATATGTAATTTGGCTATAATGAAATATGGTTTTGATGAGTGAAATTAAATATAATTTAGGGGCGCCTGGGTGGCGCAGTCGGTTAAGCGTCCGACTTCAGCCAGGTCACGATCTCGCGGTCCGTGAGTTCGAGCCCCGCGTCGGGCTCTGGGCTGATGGCTCAGAGCCTGGAGCCTGTTTCTGATTCTGTGTCTCCCTCTCTCTCTGCCCCTCCCCCGTTCATGCTCTGTCTCTCTCTGTCCCAAAAATAAATAAACGTTGAAAAAAAAAATTTTTTTTTAAAAATTAAAAAAAAAAATAAATATAATTTAAGTTTTATATATAATACAGGTAGAGCTGAAAATCCTACTTGTTCCCTTGTTTTAAATGGTCGAGCTGACATTTAATTTTTTAAATGCTGTATTAGTAGCTGCAACATCAATTTAAAACCTTGTACATATGCTCTATATATCATACATTATGTTTATAGAATGAAATTAATTTTCTGAAATAAGATACATAGTAATTCTGTAAAATTTAAATGACTATATATACTATATACACTATATATTATAGGAGGATGCATACAGAACATATGCACATATATATAACTTTTATTTAGAATTATTATTTAGGAGAACTCAAAGATGAATTTATTTTCCTGATGAAACAGATATCATTGTAATGATTTAACATGTTATTCTTTTAAGTAAACTATTTTTAGTTTGTCTTAAGCTAACATTGAATTTCTACTAAAGAATAATTTTCTTTTAATTAAATGCATTTAAAACAAAAAAAGGCTTATCATTATTGAATTGTGGTATAGCTTTTAAAGAGGATCATTTTAAATAAAAATGTTAATAGGTGATGTTTACTTTAAAATTTATATTCTGTGCATCATATTTTGTTTTATATTTCTTTCCTTAGTATACTCATTCACTCAGGAATTTTTAGGTTTGAGAAGGCGACTTGAAATTTCTTTTGGATTGAACTTTTAATTATTCATGTGAAAAAGTTACTTCTCTGGCAAAGAGTTGGTCATTTACAATTAGGTACTAGATTCACAGGACAAGGAAACTTTCCCAGGGATTCTCTGAGCCACTTTGGTTGTCATCATAAAATTATGATCACCGAGATTGTTTTGTGGTAAAAATCCTGTTCCTATGACAAAGCTTTTGAAAAGACTGTTATTTGATGATGGAAATGAAGCCCACTTCCTCTCAATTAAGGAGGTGTTTTATTTTAATCCTCCCAAGGCACACTGCTCAGCAGTGTTTCCTTTTTAAATCATGTTTAACTAACTGTAGTACATGTTTCATTTGCCAGCACGAGATTATCCATGGACACTCAAAAATAGACGCCCAGAAAAACTTCGAGACTCACTCAAGGAGTTGGAGGTATCTTTCCAAAAGTTTCAAAAATGGCAACAAACAAATCTATTTTAAAACATCTTTCAACAGCTTTAATTTTCATAAAGGATCAACTCTCCTAGTGATGATAGCTTTGCTTTTGTCTAGTGAGGAGTTCCAAAACAGTTGCATCTTTGTGTGGCATGCTGATCTTTTTTTTGTTTTGTTTTGTTTTGTTTTGGACTTTTGCTTTTTTGGGTTTTTTTTGCTTGCGAATCAGAAACACTTTAACTGATAACAACAGTGTGTATAGCCAACTACATTGTCTCTTTTTCTGTTTCCTTCAGGAGCTGATGCAAACCAGTCACTGTGTGCTGAGCAAATGGAAGAACAAATATGTCTGTCAGGTAAAATGGTTTGACATGATTTTGCAGTGTTTAACCAGTGGAGCTGAAAACTATGCAGTAATTGGTATTCTTGTGTTATGATAGGTAATGGACAAAACCTTTTTAAGAGGGGATATTTCATAGTTTGAATTCTAGTCATTCTAGAACTAACATTAGACAGATTGACACAGGCCACCAGGCTGCCTCATTAGTCAGTATAGTTTTACTGACACTATAAATGCTAATAAAAATCTTTTTGGATGGTATATTTTGTTTGGATTTGTCTGAATGTTATATTAGATGTTTACTGGCATAGATTTAATCATATTTTTGAATGAAGATAAAACCATAGGGCAGAAGGTTTTTTGGCCTATCACTCTAGCAGGCATTTGTGAGTACGATGCTTATGGAAGTCAACAAGTGGACTGGAGTTAGACCTAACATAACAAGACATTTGCTCTTATTTTTTGAACCCTCTAAGTTGTGCTGTTTAATATCATAGCTACCAGTTACTGTGGCTATTTAAAAATAAATTGAGGGGCGCCTGGGTGGTTCGGTCGGTTAAGCGTCTGACTTTGGCTCAGGTCATGATCTCATGGTCAGTGAGTTCGAGCCCCGCGTCGGGCTCTGTGCTGACAGCTCAGAGCCTGGAGCCTGTTTCAGATTCTGTGTCTCCCTCTCTCTCTGCCCCTCCCCTGTTCATGCTCTGTCTCTGTCTCAAAAATAAATACATGTTAAAAAAAAAAAAAATTAAAAAAAATAAATAAAATAAATTGAAACTAATTAGAATTAAATTAAAGTTGCACACCCATATTTTAAGTGCTCAGTAGCCGCATATATCATATGGACAATATAGATACAGAACATTTCCATTACAGAAAGTTCTGTTAGTACAGTTTGGGCCTAGACAACAGGAGCTACATCTTGAATGGGTCTAGATTCAGGACATAATAATTAGTTGACCTTGGATCACAAAATAATGGACAAATTCCTCAACTTTGTTTATACACTTAAGAGATACTAGTTGCCTAGAAAAATTAGACTTGTTTATGATTAAAAGAATCATTAAGTTATATTCTACTCATACATGTAATTGAAGTTACATGAGTACTACTACTAATTATAACTTTTATGGAATTGAATATTCTGTATGGATTTAAATACTGACTTGTTTATAATGTGATTTATTTTAGGTCTGACTACTCTTGTTTGAGGTTTAGGCCCATGGCTGTATCCATAAATCTACAACATTGAATTTATGGTTATTAGGAACATATCTTAACTGAATATTTGAATATGGGCTATCATTTCAGTGGAGTCTAGTTTTTCCTCATTTTTTGTTTAAACTAGTCTACTTTTATTCATGAAGGTAACTATTTAGTTACCTCCTCAAATGGCATGAATTATTATTTTCCAGAGCATGTTTGCTAGGCTGAATTAATATTATTAGAAGCATAATACTTTTTAAATTTGATTTAGGAATGTATTCAAAGGGTGAAATTACGTAAAAACTCATCATTTGTTTTCACTAAACTTTTAATCAGACTTTAAGACTTGAATACAAAATATGCTCCAGAAAGTTTTAAACTTAATACAACTCAAATTGTGCTTCTCAATGCCATTACTCACCTTAAAAGCAGGCTCAAAATTATTTGACTGGAGGGCAAGCCTACTACCTATAGTAAGAGGTGTGTCTTGTGGCCTCACCCTTACCATCGCACAGGGTAAGTTGGAACATGTCAGGCATCTTAAAATATGCAGTGAGGCATCCCAATAGGCAATCCTTTTTAAATAGACGTTACTGCATTTTAATTTTTAAGCAACTTTGTGTGTTTTGTATATAGGTGGAATCAGGAGAAGGACATCCCTCACTATTGAATTAATTCAATGCAGAAAAGGAATTTTCATGATAGAATATATATAAACTTTTGTAATTTACATCAAACTGACAATAGTGGTTTCTTAGGCTGTTGTACCAATGAGTCACTTTTAATATTTCCAATGGAATTTATCCTTCTTTATGTTCTGTCATATTTTGTGGTTTATTTGTGTGATTGATAAGTTAAAATAGTCCTTTTAATACCAGCACATTCTTGATATGATGATCTATTTTAGTAAGATAACTTGACCTCCACCCTGCCCACTAGTCCAGATTGGTCCCCACATCTTTAGGGCCTTTGAGAGACCTCCTAACATTATCTGTCCTCTTCCTCAGTTTCTAAACAAGACTGTGAGCTAAGTCTTCTAAAAATATGTGTATGTGTGTTATCCTAAAGATCTCTTATATTACAGTAAGTTAAAAATTTTGTCTTCAAGCTAAATTTTTAAAAGGATCCCCTTAACCTTTTATTAGTTGCAAAATAAGTGCTCCCCAAGCTACTCTAGGGTCCTCCTTTTTGTGTATTATCCAGTGTGGCGGCTCTAAAGATAACATGTGCTTAAATTTCTATTAGTAGTTTTCTCCATATATTTAGCCCTAAGATGGCAACAGTTGACCACGACATATTCTTAAAGAAGGGATGAAAAAACTCCCTCAATACCTTGGTGTTAATAAAGTTGAACTCTCAGTCTTTGACTGTGGCCACACCTCAACCGATACAAAATTTTTACCCCCCAAAATGGCAAATTTAAGACTTATAGAATTTATCTTGGTTTTCTTCTTTTTAAGGGATCCTTATTTCTTCAGAAGGTCCAATTGTTTGGAAATTAGCAAGGCAACTACAGAAACATAAAGTATTTCAGAGGATACAGTTTGAGCTTGGATTTTCCCCTCTATTGAATAATGAGATTTTATAGTTGTCATAAAAACCAACACTTAGTTCATGTTGTTGATCCAGTGACCTGTAAATTGTACCATTTAAAAATAATTTCCTCCACTTGCAAATTCAAATCGGTTTATAAATCAAGACTTACCTATATATATGTTTGTAGGAAAATTGTTTTTTAAAGTTGGTTTTTCAAACTAGGCCTATTCCTAGTTTGAAATGCATTTAAAAGTATGAGATGTAATTTATAGTTTTAGTTTTACTGGCTATCAAAATATTTCTCTCTCTTTTTGGGGGGCTGTCTTCTAAAATCATTTTATTTTAAGAAAGTGTTTAATAATTTCCAGCTTTGAATTTTTCTTTTTTTTAAAAAAATTTTAATGTTTATTTTAGAGACAGAGACAGAGCATGAGTCGGGCAGGGGCAGAGGGAGAGAGGGAGACAGAGAATCCAAAGCAGGCTCTAGGCCCTGGGCTGTCAACACAGAGCCCAACACGGGCCTCAAACTCACGAACCGTGAGATCATGACCTCAGCCGAAGTCAGACACTTAACTGTCTGAGCCACCCAAGTGCCCCTCCAGCTTTGAATTTCTTAAACTATTTTACAAACTGTTTATTTTACAAATATTTTACAAAGGGAATGATGGTTTCAGCATTGAGTGACTATTAAATTGTGTACCACTATGGTGGAATTTTTCAATTCTTTAAATTATTGTGAGTCAAGTCACATTCATATTTGCAGGTTATTGCATAATTATTTAAAAGCAGTGTTATTAAGATAGATGTAAACTCACACATGTTGATTTTAGATTAAATTATTTGAATCGTGTGTGTACAATCAACTACAAAAATATACAATATAGTCAGCTCTACCCTGATTTCTTTCTATAGCAGTTCTGCATTTTTAGGTACAATTTTAAAATGCCAAGAAAAGATAATTTTCTTTTTTTAGTTCTTGTAATGAATTACTTGCCATGCTATGTAAAAATACAAATTATTTTCTAAACCTATCACAGATAGATTGTCAGTTTATGGAACTCATTTTATCATAATTTTCTCAGTTATAGAATTGATAGCATCATTACCTGATCTTTCCTTTCATCCGATTGTATGAAAATCAGTTTGGTTTTCTCATAAAATAACAGTTGGCAAACCATGATGACTTTAAATTACAACTATTAGAAACAGCATATTACTTATATAAAACTTATCACACAATATTTATTGACTGCCACCATTATGGGATGCACTAAAGAAGTGTAACATGTGGGCTGAGTCCTCAGTATAACCTAGTCAAGGAATATAGACACATGAAATCACTAAGACACTGATGAGTGCTAAGTTGTAGGATACCAAGTAAAAAGATAGTAAAGTTTAGAGGAAAGTAAAGTTTAGTAAAAAGATAGTAAGAGTTTAGAGAGAAGGCATAGAGATTAGCCTGGGAATGAGATGTAGGATAAAACAGGAAAATTAGAGGCAGTCTGTATAAAGAACAAATGAGATGGGATAATTATTTTCTGGAAGCACCATGCCAAGGGGTTTCTGGACTTGAAGATGCTAAGCACAATACTCAGTAGAAGTGAGGTGACTAGACTGAGAATAAGGGGATTAAGTGAGAGTCTATATCTGGAATGATGACATCTTCCTCAGCTCTTTCCCCTCTCTAGCAGCTAGGTATATGTCTGTGTGTAACCTGTTTAAAGGATCCTTCTCTGAAAAAAAAATATATTTTCCTTCCCTCCTTACCCTCCCTGCTGGCCCAGAGCAAAGGATACAAGTAACAAATTTGGTAGTTTCCTTTGAAAAGGTAGGTGTGCCAACCAATCTCCTTACAGTGGAGTTATAAGTTAATAAACCTGCCAATGCATAACAAGCTCCCAATAAATTTTTAAAGAGATTTACTTTTAAATATAACCAGAGAGCTACAGATTATGATGCTTTTGAGGGAATTCTCCATCTGTAAATCTAAGATCTAGGAGTCTGAGTCTAAAACAAACAAAAGATAAAGAATCAGGGACAATGCAATAAACAGAAGTAAATTTGGGGATTTAAAATTAATCCCCACAGAGATGTAAGAGGAGATGTTGCATCTTTGAAACAAGAATAGGAAGCTATTTTTAAGAAAGAGATATTTGGGAAAAGGGGAAGGAGCTCTTGGGAACTAAAAATATGACAGCCGGGGCACCTGGGTGGCCTAGTCGGTTGAGTGTCTGACTCTTGATGTCAGCTCAAGTCATGATCTCACAGTTTGTGAAA